TTTTCTGTTTTTCTAGCAATTATTTTTTCCTAAATTTCACACTTTCTAAATGCAAATTTGATTTTAATGAGAAAGAACTAGCAGTCTTGTCTCTGAAGCTGGTTTTTTGCACTTAAAGTTGTGAGAAATGTGAATAGACTGAGACGTTAGGGGTGGAAGAGGCTCTAACTACTACTAAGTCCATCACCTTCACTCACATGCACAGATTTCACTGATAAGGAAACTGAGGCTCAGAAAGTGTATAAACTGTAGTTGCTTTCATATTTATCACAATATGTAATTCTCATTTCTGCCCACATAACAGCAATAATAACCTATTTTATAATACATTATAGTCTTTACTTTCTAACGATTAGGATTAGTTTCTGAAAAACATCATGGAAGAATGGTTTGTATTTCCAGAATTAAGACATTATGGAAAATAAAGACTTAGTAGCAAGGAGATCAGGAGTAAAACCTAGGAAAGGTTTAATTTTTATGTTTACTAACATATGACAGTAAAAACAGAACACCCAATATAGATAGCACTAATGGTATTTTATGCATGCTAAATTAGATTGGCCTCTGTGCCATTAATTTTTATTTACTACCTTTTGGAAGTTTCAGGGTTTCAGCTCCCTTGCAGCCTCTAGGATAGCCTTGTACGTTTGTTTCATGGGCATGATGAAGGGCAAGAGGCTTTTGGTTTTGTGTCTTTCCTTCACATGAATGGTAATATCTTTCTGTTTTTATGATTACAGTATTTCAAAATTTCAAAAACACATAGGAGCTATGACTATTTGAGATGGAAAAAGTTCTGGGTGACTAGTAAGTAGCTGGGCATACTTCAGACACCAAGGTTGTATTCTGAGCTTGGCTACTGAGAAGTTCAGGTCAAAGTTTTCATACTTTGCCTTAGGGCTCTCTCTCCCAGCACACAGAGGTCTCTACCCTTTTTTTTTTTTTAATCTTGCCCCAGGCTTTATTACAAAAAACAAACAAACAAAAACACTTCAGTTCCACCTGTGTGTTGACTCTTGATATTCCCGATCCTTATTTTATTCTCCTCTAATTACCCTTGAGAGTAGATTCACTAAATTTCCAAGTACTCAACTCAAACTTTTATAGTTGTTGTAAAGGTATACAAAAGCAAATTCTTTACAGAAAATTTTCATGGAAGGAAAGTTGTCACTGGAACATATTCCAGTCATAACTCCCCATATCCCAGCAACTCAAATATTACTGAGGCACTGGAATAAGAGCCCCAATGCATGATTTGCTTGAAAAGCATCCACTCCATTCCTTTCAGCAGACTGAGATCAAGCTTAGAAGACAAAAGTCTTGGAAATTATTTCCATTTCCATAGGTGAGGAACTCATCCAGTTTGAAGACACATGCTTGGTACAAAAAAGACACTTGGGGTCAGGGGAAAGGGTCCACACAACTAACCTCAGTAGGGTTGATCTTTAGCCTAGTTTGCTTAGGAACTAAACTGTACCACTGACCCAGAAAAACAAACAAACAAACATAAACAAACAAAAAACATGTCTCTAGAGTCTCTGTAAAAATAGCACATTGTAAGCAGTCAGTTACTATGTGCTGCTCAGGAGATAATAGGACACCTTTTTTTTTTTTTTTTTTTTTTTTTGAGATGGAGTTTTCGCTCTTGTCACCCAGGCTGGAGTGCAGTGGCGCCATCTCAGCTCACTGCAACTTCCACCTCCCGGATTCAAGCAATTCTTCTGCCTCAGCCTCCCAAGTAGCTGGGATTACAGGGGCCCACCACCATGCCCAGCTAATATTTGTATTTTTAGTAGAAACGGGTTTTCACCGCATTGATCATGCTGGTCTCGAACTCCAGGACACCTTTTTTGACTATGAAGAAAAAAGCAGCAGCCATAAATGGTGTTATGTGCTGAAACATTTGCTGAGAAAGATAAACCCTGGGAATTTTGAGGGGAAGAAAGTTAACAGGTAATTTAGGTACATGTAACTACTTATTTACACCCTCCCCGCAACACATCCGTTTTTGAATCAGAAAAAAATAATTTGAACATGATCATCAATGTTAAGAATTTTAGAAGCTGTTTCAAATCTGTGATCTCAATGAACCAAATCACAGGTTTTCTTAGTAAGACAGAGCCAGTAGTACAATTCCCTTTAGGTAGAAGGAGAAAATGGAGCTCAAAAAAGGATTGGAACATATTCAGGTGCATATACACAATGTGAACACACATACGCGTGTGCATATGAGTACACTTGCACACAGTAAGTCCATTATTCTGCCATCTCAACAGCAAATATGGCCGTGGCATAAGACACGGACCACTGTCCAGAGCAAGCCACAGGCTGGTGTTCAGTTTCCTGAGATGCCTTTGCATAATGTGAAATGGAGGGTTTAAACAAGGCACAAGCCAGGATTTTGAGAAATAAGCAAGAAGTCTTTTCCTTTACCACAGTTTACATTTTTAAAATTTTACTTGTACTTTTATTGAGTTATAATTTGCCTAGAGTGAAAGGCACAGAACTTAAAAACATAGTCCCATCATTTTTGTCAAATCAATTTATACGCATAACCTCCAGCCCTATCAAGACACAGGACATTTCTATCAAGTCAGAAAGTCTCCTTGTGGCCCTTCACAGTCAACACTGCCACCTCCAGTGGCTTTCCTTTTAATGACTGGGTACTTCTAAACAGCCAAGATAACATTTTTTTATTATCGTTCATAGCAGGTAGACAACTCCAGGAAATTCATCATCAGTTTCTAAAAGTAATCTGTAAACCACACCCAGATATTTTTCTCTTAGGTAAGTTACCAGAATCTATTTATTTTTAAAATAGTACTCCTTCCCATAATCATTTTCCTACTCTGCTAAGTATAATGCCATAATTGAAAATATGTAGTATGGTTTTATAGGACAGATACTCATTGTACATGCTTATTAAATAAACATGCTATTTAACTATCTTATCCACCCTTAACATTGACTCTTACTTTGTAAATATATAGTGAATTATATGTTGTATTTGTCTGTCACTGATGGCTTTGTTAAATTTTTAAAAATTATTATTAATTTGATTTAGGGTTAACTCTTTATTGCTCAGATCCTACTTTCTCAATGATGTTTTTAGAAAACTTCTAGTAGAAAAGGTGGATAAATGTATTATTTGGTCAATAAATGACTACCACTTTGAGATAGGTTTTCTTCATAGGAAAATCTCCTTAAGAAATAGAATCAATGAATGCATTCTTACTGAAAATTATTAAATTGTTTCTTAAGCATGACTCTTGAGCATTAGTTCAAATGAAAACAGATTTTGAAAAATATTTGATCAGAGGATCAACCAAATTCTGAAATATTCAATTTCATTTTATTTCTTTATCTTTAATTTCATTACAGATGTCTTATAAATGTGTGATTAAAAAAAATGAGAAAGTATGTCAGTAAGTAAAAATCCATCACCTCAGCTAGAAATGAAGAGTATGTATCACCAGCCAGAGGCTGTGATCACCACCTCCAAAGACAATGAGCCTCAGTGAACTATAAGCCATTTCAGCAATTATAGCTGTTTTACCCACTGTTGTGCTCTGATAACCTAGTTCAGTGCTTGGCACATACAAGCACTCAATATATGTTGAAGAAATAAAAAAATAAGTGGGGACAAAAACTGGTCCTCATCTGTCCTTAGTCCACTCAAGTTGCTATAACAAAAATACCATAGACTGGGTAGCTTAAACAACAAGCATGTAGCAAACATTTATTTATCACAGTTCTAGAGGCTGAGAGGTCTAAGATCAAGGCACTAGAGATTCAGCTTCTGGTAAGGACCAACTTCCCGGTTCATTGATGGCAGTCTTTTCTCTGTGTCCTCATGTGTCAGAAGAAATAAGGAAACTCTTTGGAGTCTCCTTTGTAAGGGCACCAATCCCATTTATGTACTCTCCACTCTCATGACCTAATCACCACCCAGAGGTCTCAGCTTCCTATACTGTCACATTGGGGGTTAGGATTTTAACATGTGAATTTTGGGGGCATATAACATCAGTCCATAACATCATACAACATTATACCTCTGTTATCCAGCATGCCTGCCACATAAAAGCTACTCAATATCTTATTGAATAGAATTATCCACAGTTAAATGGTAAGGGGCTGAGAAGGCATGGTAAATGTATCTGAAGCCACATCTCAGAAAGATGTTTTGAAATCATTATGTTCAAGGCAGTGACTTGGTACTTTGCAGGTCAGTGAACACAGTCAGTATGTACTATGACATATGTTGGATTTGGAAGCTTACTCTGTCACCTACTAACCACGTGACCGGGGGCAAGTCTTTTAGCCTCATATAATGTAAATCTGTGAAATGGGATTAAAATAACTCACCGAGATATGAAGATTAAATGGGAACTTTCACGGGAAAGTTTCTGCACAATGCTTGGCACAGAGGGATTGGGACACTCTCTTCTTCCCTTTATCTGAAGGAGTAGCTTTCCTTAAAATGTGAAATACTCATGAGATTATGAAAAAAAGAGTGAGGCTGAAGTTAGTGCCTTCCACCTTTATTTATTTTCTGTCTGTGACTTCTAGTTGTATTTCCTTACAGACAAATGTGAGTTATTACTCCTATTAGCACTGCTGAGCTGTTGCCACCATGCTAGAGCAAGCTGGACTCACTCTGAGTCTTGTTAAAAGCTCTGCCAGCTGAGTGCATCCTGGGTTTCCTTCACAAACTATAGAGTTTCTGACTATGAGAGCTCACAAGCACAGCATTAATCTCGAGCCCTAGCCTGAAGCTTTGGTCATGCCAATATGAGATTTGGCAGGACCATCACTGAAATAAAAGATTAAGTTAAAATAATATGCAGTTATCCAACCTAAGCCACTGACTAAGAGAAGAATCCATCTCTGATAAAGAACTGGCTATTTTATAATCAGCAAAGGAACCTTAACCAAGTTCATTCTGAAAATATTCTTCAGGTACTGATAAGTCAAAGGGAATACATTTTTTTAAAAATTTATACTCCTGGATAAAGGAATTTATTATATTTTTATACTATAAGTTCAAGAATGATTTACTCACAATTTTGTAATAACTTTGTGAAAAGTACAGTAAAATGTGTGAGCAGTTTTAGTTATATGTATTATTTGTTGGACTCTAAAGTATTCTACAGGTGTTTTGATATATGCCTGTTTGGGGTTAGCAATGTACTTTTCTGGATAAACATCACATAAGGATTACACATTTATCTTCTCACCAAAACAGGCTCCTCTAGTCCTCTAGTGTATGTAAATATCACTGGTCACCTTTTTCACTTAAGCTAAATGTGATAGTTCTGACTTCACTCATTTGCTTTCACTTTCTAGCAGCCTCCCCATGTTAGCCTTGCCACAAGGTCAGTCTTCTATTTGGTAGGTTTTATAAATCCTAAAAGTTCTAGTTCAAAAAGAGTTCTAATAAACCAAGCATGGATAATTTCATTCATTTCTTCTGAGGCTGCAGAATTTGCATCCATTTTTTCAGCAGCTGTCAAAACTGTTGCAAAAGCCTATGAACAGTCCACAAGGTTGATTAGCCTGCAACACTCTAGGTGCAATTTATATGCTATGGAAATGTCTGGGGCGACATTTGGAATGCACCCTTCTTTGCTTTTCAGTGCTTCATTCTTTAGATAATAGTAAGGATTGTTGAGTGCAGTATGGAGGGCAATTCATGGAGCAGCATCTAAATGCTCACGAAGGGCATGGGCAGCACTGAAGCGGACCACCTCATGGAGAGGCTGTGTCTCAGGAGGCAGCAGAAGCTGTTCTCTCACTAGACAGTCATGAAGTTCACAACATTTTCTCTGAGTACTTCAAATTTGGTTTGCTTCTTACTTCCGCTTGACTCCTTCATTTCCAGTAAAGACTTCTGAAGATGATAGAGGTCTGTCTTCTGAAGCCCCTTTGACTGACCCAGAAGCATCTTCTTCCTCTTTGGTTTCATCGAAGCTCTGAAACTGGGCCAGGAACTTCTCTATTCTCTTAGCTGTGCTGCCAAGGTGATTTTCACAAGAAGATTTAAAAACCTTGAAACATTCCTCAAGTATGGTCATCAGTTCATCGTTTGCCAACATCTTCAGCAGCTACAAGACTGATGCATACTCCTCTGAATTCCATATTTTTTTTTTTCTAAACATGTGCGGTACAACTCTCTGATCTGTCAACCTTGTGGATACTTTGGAAGAGAAGAGGTGAACTTATGAAGACATCTCAAAACCGGAAAGTAATTCCTATGATACACATGAAGGTTTTCTAGTAATAATTGTGTTTCCTCCTTCAAACATCTCTCATTGGTCAAGAGCGCAACTTGCTTTTCTACGTACCTCCTAAAAGATGGAAGATGTCAGATGTTTTCCCATTGATTGTTTGATAAAAAATTTATTCTTCTTTTGGCTTCTGGAAGATTACAGCACAGGACACTTAAGGGCTGGGAATAGAAATGCTCTAATAGAGAAAGCTGGTCCTTTTATAAAATTTTGAATTTAGAAATCATGATACAAAAAGATGTTAGTCAGAACCTGCAATGCTTTTTCATTTATTTTAAAGGGAAACTGAGTTGTAAGAAGTAGCTTATTGAGTACCATAGTCAGGTGCTCCTTGCAAGACAAAACTTGGAACAGTTCTATGCACAATAGAGATGATACTGCATGAGGAAACAATCGGCTGATGATAATAGATATGGCAATTCATAAAATGAATATTAGTGAAAATTCATGCAGATGTTGACTGTTGATAATTATGAATTCTTGCAGTACTTTTGTGGCAAAGCTTTCCATATCCTTTCAGATAACCACAACAGGAGGAGACTGCCATTGGCTAGAAGTAGTCCTCTTTTTGCTTGGCATTTTTGGGTCTGTCTTCTGTCTGACAGTCATATACCAACTGGAAAGTGAATTCATTGAATAATGTATCTTTCTCTGGGTGAGCTGAACACTTTCCCCCTCTTTGGATTTTATATCTACACAGCAGTTCAACAATTGTGAGATCAACTTTTGCAAAAAAAATGTTTCATATCTGGACAGTCTTTAGTTTGCAATGAGACTACATATGGTGCGACTTTATTCTGAAGGGCCTCTGTTAGACTTCTGAATGTTAAATCATGATCTGTGACATTCACACCAAGAACAAGAGCAGCAGTTGGAATTTCTCTGAGTTTTATTTGACAGCCCAAGTCTCGAATTCTTCTGGAATCCAGAATGAGATTTTTGCAGAAATTCAATTAGATTGTCAAACAAGTTTTTATTTAATTCTTCTTGTAGTGGCTCATTTTCAGATTTCATTTGCTGCCATATCAACTAAGTTCCAAATTGAAGCTTACTGTCCTTAGACTCATTTTTCCCTTTGTTAAAATAGTCCTCCATTGGCACAGAGATCTTTCTCTTTTTGGAGTTTGGCTTAAAAACAGAGCAGCCCTTAGACACTGAGGAAGTGGCTGTGGTCCTACTGGCTCTGTGGATTCCGGATGCACCGGGAATACCTTTTGACTGTGATCCTGAGTGGAGAGTAGAAGAGTACAGGTTAAGGAGAGTACTGCAATTTCAGAACACTAGTGGATTCTATTGTCCTTTTGTGATTAGACTTATTTCAGGGTCATATCAGGTAGTCTCCTGATGGTACTTGATAGGACACTTTAAGTACATAGATGAGGGCACTAGCATTTTGAGCTGCATGGCCTGGTCTTACTGACTTCTTTTAGACCAGCATCTTTAGTGAAGGTACTTACCTCTTCTATCACATCCTTCCATGTAGCTCCACTTCCCAGTTATGCTGGTGCACACCTAATATCCTAAAACCCAAGCCCATCTAATACATATACCCTCAGCTCGTATACACCCTTTTTCTTTGGTCTTCCTACCTTTACATGTACTAGTTTATAATTTAGAATATTCTCACCATCTTTTTTTCCTAGGGATATCTCTCACTTCCTTTGAGACTCTTGGTTCTTCCTCTGACCTTCCATAAGACACTCAGTTTATAGCTTTATAATAGATTTTACTTGTTATGTCTTCCTATGTAGAGTTTTTACATGGCTGAATGTACACAGTGGTTAAGGAAATGAATCATAATAGATATTCAACAAATATAACAAATAGATATCAACAAATATTCAACAAATAGATATTGGACAAATATTATTCAACATAATAGATATCAAACAAATATTTGTAAAATACATTAAGACAGTTTTTTTTTTTTAAAGTTATATACCAATCCGGGGCATGAATTAGCGTAATTTGTGGGTACTGGGATGGGGAAAGGATAGTAAAGATATGGCTGAGGTAAGAAGATTGACTACATACCTCTCTCTAACTTCATGGGGTGGAGACTTTCTTCTTTGAAGTTTTATTTAAGACGGAGTCTTGCTCTGTTGCCCAGGCTAGAGTCAGTGGCGTGATCTCAGCTCACTGCAACCTCTGCCTCCCAGGTTCAAGCAGTGCTGCCTCAGCCTCTCGAGTATTTGGGATTACAGGTGCCTGCCACCATGCCTGGCTAATTTTTGTATTTTTAGTAGCAGCGGGGTTTCACCATGTTGATGAGGCTGGTCTTGAATTCCTGACCTAAGGTGATCCAACTGCCTCAGCCTCCCAAAGTGCTGGGATACAGGTGTGAGTCACCATGCCTAGCCCTAAAGTTTTAACATATGATAAAAATCAAGATCAACACTGACATTGTCCTAAATATCATCTATCAACCTCTTATAAAATAGCAGTCACATTGCCAGTTAGTTTATCTCATTCTAAGCCACTACTTAAATTGTAAATAGTAATTCATGTGAATTTGCCTAGTGTTTTATGGTTTCCTAAGTGCATGTATATTCTGTGATCATTGAAATTAGTGTTGTATAATGGTTAACTGCACAGACTTCAACTTTGCTTGAATTCTAATCCTGGCTGTGTCATTTATTGACTTTTAACCTTGGGCAAGTCTATTAACTTCCCTGAAACTCTGTTTCCTTGACCACAAAATAGAGATAGAACATTTCTTATGGGGCTGTTGTGTTTATGAGTGGGTCTCTAATACACACTACATATGTTGCATTTATTTTTGATTCACAGGAAGCACAGGAAGCAATTAAAAATGTTAATGATAATGTGGATAATCACCTTTTTTGAATTTCACATACAAGTCTGTGAAATAAGAAGAGATTTTATTATCCTCCACTTAGTGGATAGAAAAATTGAGACTGTTACCATTAAACTTCTAGTGCTTAAGTAACTTTCCCAAAGACCCAATTACAACTTGAAGGTAGAAATTTTATCCCAGGTTTTCAGATTCAGAATTCAGCATTTTCCCACTGTCATAGATTCCCTACAACCTAAAATAATGTCTCATTTTTCTTTCTTTGGTTTACTGCTCTTTGTAGACTCGGCTTAAATTTGTGAAAGGCAAGTGTGAGGGAAAGGAGAGATTTGTGTTTAAATGAAATGCAAGTATGAAAAAAAATGAATTTAACTGTTCATCCCTACTGAGCAAGTTTGAAGAAAAGAAATTTTCCTATTCTCTACAAACCATTCCCAGTTACCATGAACAGTCAGTGAAAAAAAAAATTGGCTCCATTACTTTATTAAGCATCTTTTGAAAGGATATCAAAAGAACTTCATTTATAAAATCTTGTAAAGGTATGAAAACATTACCAACTACAAAGATAAATGGTTGAAATGAAATGGGAACTGATCTTTTTTGACAAGAATTTCAGTTTGATAACCCTGGCTGTTTTTCCCTTAAATGTAACTTCTGAGGATTTGGCATTAATCAAACTACATTTTAAATATACTGTTACATTAAGGAATGCACATTTGTCCTCAGAGATAATGTTCAGTCTTTTTTACTCTTTATCAAAGCACATTTTAATTGACTGGGAAATTAAGAAATACATTTCCTGCATATAATATGAAAAAATATGTTCACAAAAATAAATATTATAAAAAGAGGTTTATACCAAAAATGTACAGCTAGATCTAGTTGCAGAGCTATACAACTTGGCTCTGTTTGAGACTACATCTAGTTTAATGTAACTTGGATCAGTTTTAGCAACTAGCTAGCACTGTAGAGAAGACATCAGGATTTTATACACACATATATACACACATTGTGTATATACAGATATATATACACACACACATATATATTTGAAGAGAAGCAATATATATATGTATATTGCAGCAATGTTTACTCTCTTGACCAGGAACATTAGATTGCATCTATATATTAAAGTGTGACATGGAAGTAGCTCCTGTCCGAAAACCGTCCTCAGTCTGTTAAGCCCTGTTGATCTCAGAGAGGTGATGGAGAAAAGAGAAGTCATCCCTTATTCCAAGACTTTTACTAAAGACTCCACATCCAGGGCATGGTAGTATACATCATAATTTTATTTTTAAAAGAGAGAGAAATGGCAGAAATAAAACTTTGCTCTTCTTGCTTTTAAAGATCAGAAATTCTAATCAGTTATGTTGAAAATTAAATAACAAATAAAAATAATAGCATCAATGATTTATATTTGTATCATGCTTTACTGTTTTCAAAGTGTATTTATAGCCACTGTTTCAAGTGATCCTCACACCAGCACTGTTAAGCGAGATTTAAGTCAACACTACTCTGGTAAGATATGACTAATGAGGTAGAAACTACTTCCATTTTACAGATAACATTTTTTAAAATGAGTTTCTGAGAGGTCAGATGATGTGCCCAAAGTTATGCCAATAAGTGGTCCAGCTTAAACATGAATCCATTCAACTTGAATCAGAGCATGGTATTGGCTCCATTGGACAGTGAGATTGTTAAATCCCACTGCGCTCGTTGGCATGGAAAGCCTAGAAGTCAGCAAAAGTCATTTCTCTTGTGAGTCAAAATGGCATAGCCAGATTTTCAAATTAAATGCTTTTTTATGTTACCTTTGCTTATTGTTCATTTCTTTACCACATAGCACCCAGTATAGAATAGCATACAGTACATTTGGTTAACTATCCATCTCTCTCTTGAAACTTGAGTTACACACACAATTCAGGGCAAGGGCCTAACAGTTTATCATGTGTTCCCATTACAAGATTTAATATAGTAATTTCTGATTCTCTTTCCAGCCTTAAGATGGCATCCAGCCAGAAGATGAATGTTCCTCTACCTTCAGTAGACAGTTTATAACCTGAACCCCTCCAAGCATTAGTCCTTGCTCTGACTTGAGAGTCAGCTCACACTCAGAATTCTGAGTTTGATGCCTATTTTTAAAGCTGAGGACTCCTCTTCCTGAGTTTTCCTACCTTTCAGCAGGAGCAAGGTGTATTAGTCTGTTCTCACACTGCTAATAAAGACATACCTGAGACTGGATCATTTATAAGGGAAAGAGGTTTAATGGATTCACAGTTCCACATGACTGGGGAGGTCTCACAATCAGGTGGAAGGCAAATGAGGAGCAAAGTTACATCTTACATGGTGGCAGGCAAGAGAGCTTGTGCAGGGGAGCTCCCGTTTATAAAATCATCAGATATCGTGAGATTTATTCACTACCACAAGAACGGTATGGGGGAAAGTGCTCCAGTGATTCAGTTATCTCCACCTGACCCCATCTTTGACACGTGAAGATTATTAAAATTCAAGGTGAGATTTTGGTGGGCACCCAGCCAAACTATATCACAAGGGAACTTCTCTCTGCCTCCTTATTGACTCTTCTCCATAGCAGTCTGCACCTGTTAATCACTTCAAGAATGAACATCTTACCATTATTCATGTTGCCTTTGGAATTATATAAGTTGATTATCCTTCTGGTGGCACTGTGGTGGAAGTGTTCTGATAACAGGCATGTTTCCACACTAGGTAATGTTCTAGGTAATGTGAATCTCATGGCTGTTACACAAAGAGGTAAATAGAGGTGGCGCCTTCCACTGTGTGCTTTAATCATTCAAACTGCCGCCCATTGCTGATATTGGGCACTTGGGCTGTTTCTTCCTAATTCATTCGTCTCCGTATTTTTCATTTGATACCCTTTTCCTTCTGATCTAATGACTCTAGTCACTAAATTTACTTTCTCACAGTCCACTGATACCTATAACTTATCTCTACCACAATTTACGTTTACTTTTCGTCCCTTAACTCTGCTGATTTCTTCATCCACTTGCTTAATAAATATTCAAAGGTTCAAAATTATTTGACTTTTAAAAATTAGTAAACTTTACTTTTAGAGAATTTTTAGGTTCACAGCAAAACTGAGCAGAAGGTACAGTGATTTCCCATATATCACCTAACAACAGTTGTATATAGCCTCTTCCTCTATTGATGCCCTGCACCACAGAATACATTTGTTACAGTCAATGGACCTACATTGAGACATTGTTACCACCTGAGGTCCATAGTTTACTAGGGTTCACTCCTGGTCTTGTACATTCTATGGGTTTTGACAAATATATGATGGCATGTGTGTGCCATGGTGCCATGGTAATATTGTACAGAATAGTTTCATTGCCCTAAAAATCCTCTGTGCCCTGCCTATTCATCCCTCCCTCCCTCTTAATCCCTGCCAGCCACTGATCTTTGTACTGTCTCCAGAGATTTGCTTCTTCCCGAGTGTCATACTGGTGAAATAAACAGTATGTAACCTTTTCAGATTGGCTCTTTCCACTTAATAATAGGCATTTAAGGTTCCTTTATGTCTTTTCATGACTTAATAGCTCATTTTTATTAGTGAATTGTGAATGAATTCCGTTTTCTGTATCTACCACAGTCTCTGTATCCATTCATCTACTGAAGGACATCTTGGTTGCTTCCAAGTTTGGCAGTTATGAGTAAAATTTTTTTAAAAAAACATCAAATAGGGGCCTGACACTCTGCTGGATACTGTTCCATAGACTCTCTTAATGATTCTCCGACACCTCAAGATGGTTAACTATTTGGAGAAGTAAGGCTCAGAGAAGTTAAGTGACATGACCCAAATCACCAAGTTGGTGAATATAATTGTCAGGACTTAAACTCCATGTATTTTAATACAAAGTCCACAATTTCATCAGCTGCCTAGGGAAGGGGATGCATACCTCCCTACCACTCTCCCTTGCTAATGGTAGACGTTGCTGGTTAGCTACAACATACTTGCTTGTGAAGCCTAATTCAATACAAGCTGTCAATATTAATCGATTATCATTGGCATACATGATGAAACCTAATTGGCAGCCTTGCCATGACCATGGCATATGCATTCAATCTTTGACAACATTTTGGCTAACACCAATGAAGTATGGATTTTATTATTAATATAACAGCCTAATTCAGGAAGAAACTATATATCCTTATGGTCCTTTTATAACTTTATGGTACGTTAGTAATGATTCCTTAATTCTGTTAAATTATTGAAATCCAGTTCTTACTAGCCTTCTTCACTCCTATCTTCATGCCTATGCCTCGCTACAGGCTGAATGTTCTAACACTGGACCTTTTTCCTTTA